TACTGGAAGCCAGTAGGAATGCCCCACTGCACCTCAGAGATTAGGGTTGTCAACTCCCAGTTCAGAAATACCTGGGGACTCAAGGGTGGAGCCTGCAAGAGTGGGGTTTAGCAAGGGAAGAGACCTTGGTAGGGTATAATGTTGTGTAGTCCACCTTCCAAAGCAGTCATTTTCTCCAGGAGAAGTGGAATAAATGTTTTTAAATAAATAAATAATAAATGACACAGCAATTTATGTAGCCTGGAGATCAGTTGTCATTCTGGGAAATCTCCATCCCGCACTTGCAGTGTTGCAAGAGGCAGTGTCGCCAAGGGCTTCCCTTCATGGTGGCTGTTTGCTTTGTCTCTGTAGATAAACTGGGTTTTTGTCAAAGGAAGGCGTGAAAAAGCAGTCAAAGGCTCTAGCACTGTAGAGTCTAGATTGCCACTAAGGCTGCAACTTTTTAATGGGCCAGTACTGCCATGTGTTTAAACGCAGGAGCAGCTAGGGATGCCAGGCTCCAGGTGGGACCTGGGGATCCTCTGGAATTACAGCTCATCTCCAAACTACAGAGATCAGGTGCCCTGGAGAAAAATGAATGCTTTGGAGAGTGGACTCTGTGGCATTGCACCCCATTGAGGTCTCTGTCCTCCCCAGGCTCCACCCCCAAATCTCCAGGAGTTTCCCAGACTGGATCTGGCAACCCTACACACCCATCCCCTGTCAGTGGCCAGGTGAGGACCTGGCAACCTAGCTAGCTAGCAGCAGCATCTACAGATACCAGCAAGAAATCCTACTTAACTCAATGCCAACTACTGATTTCTCTACAGAAGCAGGCCACCATCTTGTCCTGGGCAGTTGGCAACTTGAGCAGTTTACTAATCCTTCTCTTCTTCAAAAAAAACCCTGCTTCTGACTGGCTTTTCTCCACAGTTGGTCAATAGATCCAACAGAAGTGTCCCCGTGTGTGTGGCCTGTATCTATGACGGCCCCATCCCATCCGTTGCCCTGCTTCCCCAATGGAGAGGGGAGGGAAGGAGGAATTCGGGGTTTTTTGTGGGAAAACAAACCCCTGAGCTAATCCTGTTTGAAGTGTTCACAGTACTAGTTGGAAACTAATTGTACTAAAATTTGTGATCACTAGGTGTCATTATAATCTCAGAAGTGAAGGGAGACTCCTAAATCCAGTTCTTTTTCTGCGTACGTACTGCATTTCAAATTGATAGGACTTAAAGATATATCATAGCTGTCCTCTTCAGGACTCCCAGAAGGACGGCTGATTGATTGCCTGATTTGGACATTGATACCTAACCTTTCCTCATGGCTTATGGCAGATTACATATAATAACTGAAAGCCCAACAATTTAAAACCAACAATATAGAACCCAAATGTCTCCCAAAAGATACCTGCAATTTAAAAGGTTGTCTGCTGAACTTTATACTTCACCGTAGAAGGTTCCAGAACACATGACTCCTGTTGCCTTGGCAATGGAGAGGTCATTGTATAAACAAGGCCAGCATTCAGCACTGGAATTTATTACATGGTTGGAAGAAGGCATCTTTCTTTCTATTGTCCTCTGAGGGGGCTGAAGCACATCTAGGATAACGGTAAGGTAAGGAGAGCTGCTAACCTCCCAGTTCTGACCCTGCTCCCACTCAAGTTACGACCAACTCGGTTCTATTTAACAGCAGGCTTCAGTGCAGAAATCGATCTGAGGGGTGACATGACCGAGGTTTATAAGATTATGCATGGGAAAGAGCAGGTAGAGCTTTTTATTCTAGATCACTATCTGCGGCAGAGCGGAACTATGCCCAGATAGACAAGGAGGGTCTGGCGTTGGTAGCGGCTGTCAAAAAGTTCCATGATTTTATTTTTGGCAGACGATTTTTGCTGGTCACTGACCACAAGCCGCTACTGGGGATTTTTGCGCCCGATAAGCAATTGCCAAACATCATGTCCCCACGCATGCTTAGATGGGCGATATTTTTGCAGGCTTATGATTTTGACTTAGAGCACCGGCCTGGGAAAGCGATTGGGCATGCGGATGCCCTCAGCCGGTGCCCGGTGCCGGACATTGGCGCAGACCCTGCCCCCGCCTGTGAGGTCTTGGCAATTGAGGAGCTTCCTCGACCCCCGGTATCATCCAGGGACATTGCAGCACACACGGCCAAGGATAGCGTGCTGTCCCGAGTATTAAACTGGGTTTGGAGGGGGTGGCCGGTTGGAAGCGTTGAACCGGAGTTCGGCCCTTACAAAAGCCGTCAAAATGAACTATCCATTTCTAAGGGCTGTGTATTATGGGGGAACAGGGTGGTGGTTCCTGACAAACTCAGGACGAGAGTGTTAGAGTCGCTGCACGAGGGTCACCCCGGTATGGTACACACCAAAGCGTTGGCCAGAGGGTATGTCTGGTGGCCGGGGCTGGACAAAGAGATCGAAGAATGGGTACGAGGGTGTCCCAAATGCCAGCAAGTCAGACCCGATCCCCCACAAGCTACACCCCAAGGCTGGGAGTCATCTGGTAAACCCTGGGCCAGATTGCATATAGATTTTGCTGGCCCTCTCCAAGGGCAAATGTTCCTAATTGTGGTGGACGCTATGTCCAAATGGCTGGAGGTCGTGCATATGAAATCGACCACATCACTTGCTGTGATCCATGCGCTCCGCCGACTTTTTGCCACCCACGGGTTGCCTGACGTCATCGTCAGTGACAACGGGCCTCAATTTGTGTCTGAGGAATTTAGGCTCTTCCTCACGAGTAATGGCATACGCCAAATGACTTCGGCCCCTTTCCATCCGGCATCTAATGGCCAAGCCGAACGGATGGTCAGGACGGCCAAAGAGGCCCTGGGTAAAATGGACGAAGGGGACTGGAGCCAGAGGCTGGGCTCCTTTCTTTTGCTGCAGCACACCACCCCCTGTAGTGCTACAGGCCGTAGTCCGGCCGAATTGTTAATGGGGCGGAGACTCACGACCCGTTTGAACCGAATGCACCCAGACCTCACAGAAGATCAGTCCGAGCGTACCACTGCGCAACCGAAGGTGCGCATGTTTGAAAAAGGGGACAAGGTTTTCGCACGAAATTATGCAAACGGGCACTTGTGGCTTCCTGGGGTTATATCCGACTCTGTGGGTACTCGAATGTATGTGGTGCAGTTAGCTGACGGTCGAATATGGCGGCGCCACATAGATCAGTTAAGGAGACGTTGGGCTAGGGACAGCGCTGACTCTCCGACGGCTGAATCCCCTGATGTCGAGTGGACACCCCCAGAGCAGGCGGTGAGTACCGAAAGGCCCGGTACTGTCCCCGAGTCAGGGCAGAACCCTGTGTGCGGGGCTGAAATCCCAGTCGAGTCTGTGCCTGATCCAGGCTGTAGTGAACCCCACTCTGACCCACAACCTTGTCTGCCCGTGGAGCCTGCACCGCTCCGCAGGTCCCAGCGTTCGCGGCAAATGCCGACTTATCTGAAGGACTATGAGTGTAAATACTGTTGGAATAACTGATGTACAAAGGTTGATTGCATGTTTGTAAATAATAAAACAATTGGGATGATGGCTTAACTTAGGGGGGAGGAATTGTAATGTATTGAAATGATTACATGAATCACCTCATAGGACTCCCGTGTTAAGCTTCGAGCCAGACCAGGGCTCCTCTGAGCGAACTTCCTATTGGTCGCTTCGTAACAGCGACCAATCAGAACGGTACCATTCCCTAGGAGGGAAAGACTCCCATTGGTCTTTATTCTAGCAATCTCATTGGTTGTTATTTGTAAATAGGCGTGGCTACATTAGCCCGGTTATGTTTAAAAGGAGCATAAGCTCCCACTGTTTTCTGTTCTGGTTTCTTACTGAGTTAGTGCTTGTTCGTTACTTCTAAATAAAGCTGAATCACTTGCTGAATCACTCTACGAGTCCTTTGTTAGCGCGATCTAACAGCTGAAGTTGGGTTTGGCCTTGTACTAATAATACGTACAGCCACTGTAAGCAATCCAGACACTACAGGCCCCGCCGCTTTGACAGGTGCTATTTCTTAGACAAGATGAGAAAAGCTGCCATCTGCTAGAAGCCCTACCTGTAGCTTTGCTGACATGGAGAAAAAGTGAGAGAAGATCTTGCTGTATGTCTGTACATGGGACAGGAGCAGGACCAATAAAACATGTTTTACATCCCTAATTTTCAACCCTGAACATGTTATCACAGTTTAAAAAAAAAACACCTTTCTGATAATTGAAATGGCTGATGTAATGTATTGAAATGATTACATGAATCACCTCATAGGACTCCCATGTTAAGCTTCGAGCCAGACCAGGGCTCCTCTGAGCGAACTTCCTATTGCTCTTTGCTGAAAACAAGAATTAAAACATCTTAGAATTCTATTGTTGTTCTATATTATTGCCAACTATTTTCTAATTGTATGCACATCTGCAGCAATTTTGTTTGTCTTTGTGATTATCCATTGCTGTACCCCTTGTGTTACTTTACACTGAGTCAGACCACAAGGGTCAAAATTCAACACGTGAAGCTTCATCTGTTAAATTGGGTGTGAGACCCTGTTTTTTAAAAAAGAAAGTGATTCTAACACAGTGGAGACAGAAAGAGGACCCGCTTTCTTGTTATGGGATAAGATAAAGTAAGCCACGTCAACCCCGTTCCCAGCCATTCATCCCCTCACCCAAATCTATTCAACGAAAGTACAGTGTGAAAAGCCCACATTAGAGGCACGCCCCCCTGTAGCTAAAAACAACAATCACCTCGAAAGGCAACGGAAAGGAAGCAGAACAAAATAAGGCAGAGCTATGGCGGAGAACAGCCTCTCCGATTTTGCATTACATTCCTCAAAGAGAACGAAACCTGAATATTTATTGCTCCCGACGATGCTCCTGCCCCGCACATGGCGGCGGTCACATGGGAACCGGAAGTGAAGGTTGAGTATAAGTTTTTTCCGGTCTCTACGCTGGATGGTCATAATTTTGCGCGTGCGACTGGAAGCTGTTTAGGAAGGCGGATTGTGTGGTTTGTAGTTTAAAGGCAAGGATTTGCAGGAAAGCCTCGTATTCATGCGGCACCAGTATATTAAGCAAGGTAGAAGCTGCTTGGGTTTTACAGCTGCAAATTGTCTATACTGTAGTCACTACGATTGTTAAACTGAGAAAATATCAGCAGTCTCTCGAATCGTTCTGTTTCTGTTCAGATTAATAAAACATAAAGGAGCGCACGGAAATAAACTGGCTATTGTGCGAAAGTCTTCCTTGGGCTGGATGCTTTTGGAAAGGGCTTCTTTTTTCTTTTCTTTTTTTAGTAAGGGCATGATATTAAGGCCTGACCCGTTGCTCATGTTTTTTTTGTTGTGATTTACTGAACAACAGAACAAAAAAAGCAGTCATTCATTCTGTGTTACGTAATACCTTTTATGATGATGGTGTAAAGTGTTAGACATAAAGGCACGAGTTGTAGGTAACTGGGCCATGGTCCAATAAATAAAGTGTTTATGACGTGATTGCAAGTGGGGTTAATTTTTTTTTTTTTAAGAACGTTTTTAAAAAGTATTGTCTAGACTTCTGTCCAGGGCAATTTCTTCTCCAAGGAGCTCAAGATAATACATGTGCTCAACCCTCCGCCCCACTTTATCCTTGCAACAAACCTGCGAGGTAGGCTAGGCTGAGACTGTGGTCAGTTTAAGATTACTCAGTAAACTTCAGGACAGATTAGGGATTTGAACCTAGGTCTCTCTGATCATAGGACAGCATGCTTACCACAGCAGCTCACTGGTTCCTTAAACACCAGCTCTTAGTCAGGGCTAGTGACCTGAGCCAATAGATCGCACCCAAAGACTTCTGCCATAATGAGCAAGTTTTAGTCAAATAAAGGGAGACCAGGTGGAAACACCAGTGTCTCCCTGAACAGATTTAACTCCAGCTTTTTATACACTTTTACATACAGTTATAAATAACAATTACATTCTTTACCCATACATGGTTATGCTTTGTTCTTTCTTTGAACGCTGCCCTTCTCTTTGATCGTTGACCATATAATTATTGATCTCTCCCCCAGATAGTACTTATCCTTTATACTGGCCCTGCTTGTCCTATTCTTTGTCATGCTTCATTCTTCTTAGGTTTTATAATTTACCTCCCACAATCCAAACATTCCTTTCACCAGCTGGTCTAACAATCATCAATGGTTTATTCTATCCTGATCCCACAAACATGCACTGGTGTAACACTGAACTTAAGTACAACTGAAAGCCATTGGAGATTCATGGCAAAATAGTAGTTTATTGTTTGCTTTCAGGATGAATTTCTTGCAAAAGGGTGCCTCACTTTAAGTTTTATCTGACCACTGATTTTTTTGTGAGACTCAGGATCTGATCCCTGCTGCTTGTCCCCCTGGCATTTTGGCATCTGTATTCTGGATTGATGATGACGAAATTTAAATTGCTAAAGATTTTTTATTCATTGGACAAGAGTCGCTGGAAAAGACGATAATGCTAGGAAAAGTTGAAGGCAGGAGGGAAAGAGGAAAACCCAAAATGAAATGGTGGAAGCAACTTGATAGCACTTAATACACAACACTCTGGGTCTGGAAGCAAGATAGGGGTGCCCTTTGCTGCCCTATTTCTGGGGCGGCCCGAGGCCCTAGATGACTATAGGGATGTTGGCTGTAACAAAGAGGCCTGCCTTCCTTAGTACTAGTTTGTGCACAGTAATTGACTTGGGAGGACCTCATCTATAGACTAAGTACCTGTTCTTTTGCTTTTCAGGAATTGCTACCTGTTTCTACACAAAGGCACAGTTCTGAGTCTTTTCTCTCTTTTTATTACTTTCTGCTCCAGAGCCCCATTTCTAATGTCCTGAACAACGATTGGAACGGAGGTTCCCATGAGAGGATATGATTTCCTGGGGCTGGAGATGGCAGATTCACCGATGTGGTAAATATGTCTTCGGAAACGCATCCTGGCAAAAGAATCGAAGCCTCCATTTGCCTTGGAGGTGTTGTCACCAGGGGACTTCTGGGAGCCTCCTCTATCCAGAGATAAGGAAGTTTTTGGAAGAGAACACGGAAATCACCAGCAGTGGGAATCTGACACCGGAAATCAAGTTACGGCTGCTGACCCCTCGTTGCCAATTCTGGAAGGAAAAAGCTGCCTTGTGGCCATATAAAGAACCCTACTGGGCAATCTACTGGCCTGGAGGTCAAGGACTATCGAGGTACATAAACGCAGTGACCACTGGAGGGCATTCACGCTCTGCAGTCTGAATAATGGGAGACCTCCGATTCAGAGTTTCTTTGTTTAAATCAGCTCTCTGCCAGACAATTGTTTTGTTTGCAAGTGTGAGATCGAGCTCCTTTTAAGCCAGTTTGAACTGCTGAGTTGTTGGTTTTATGCCAGGGCTCAGTCCTGGAACACATGAGGTTGTTACAGTTCAACTGAACGTGTGCAGAATCTCCTTTTCTCACCACTTTCAGGGATCTGAGATTAGGTGATGGATCTGAAGGATACCTTTCAGGCAACCTCGGGCCCCAGCATCTCTTGTTTTTACTAGTTAACTATTGATATTAAAGCCACTTATGTGAATCAGAAGATCACATGCAGGAAGTAGTTGCTACTTGAAAAATGCCAGTGATTCAATAGTAGAGTATCTGGTTTGAATCATAGAGTTGGAAGGGACCTTCAGGGTCATCTAGTCCAACCCCTGTACAATGCAGGAAATTCACAGATACCTCCTTCACACTTACCCCCAGTGAACCCTGCTCCATGCCCATAAGATGGCAAAAAAACCCTCCAGGATCTAAAGAGGCCTGGAGAAAAATTGCTTCCTGACCCCAAAGTGGTGATCATTTCCCTGGGCATGTAAGAAAGAAACACAAGAACTAAGCACTGATGCAACCCTTCCTGCCCTCCCTCTCCCCGAGGAAGCCTGTTCCACTGAGCAACCGCTCTGTCAGGACGTTCTTCCTTATATTTAGCCGAAAACTCTTCTGAGCAGGTCAGAGCAGACAATACTGACTCAAACAAGACTCTGTGTAAGGCAGCTCCCTGTGGTAATCATCTCTTTTCCTGGCATCAAGGCGATACAGGTGGTAAGTGGTATAGAGGAGACAGAGAAAACCCACACCCGTGCCATCCTGAAGGGGCCCAGCTCTCACAACTTGAAGATCAGTGACACAAAATAATGACACTTGGAAACCTTAGTGTAAATATACATGTGCCAGAAAGTAAGCACTGCCAGCTAAATTGTCGCCAGCGCTAGACAAAGTGGAAATCTTAATTTGAGCAAATTTATATGCATACAGAAATTATATACAGCAAGCTATTTCATTGTTCCGTTTGCTCTTTCAACAGCGGTCTAATAGTCAGAATTTAAACAGATGCTGTTTTCTCCACCAAGGAGATGAGAAAGATGCATCTGTTAATGCTCATCATGCAGTTTGTTTGGAGGGGGGGAAATTTCTGGCACATGGGGAGTGTTGATGGGGGGATATTGGCGCACGTGCAGAATGCCTTTTTGTCTTTCCTACGCACTATTGAAAAATACTTGAATGCTGAAGGGCCCCATCTTTATCCCAACCTTCTGTTAGGGAGTTCAGGGCAATGTATATGATTCAGGGCAGACCAAATTACTCAGTAATTAAATTATGGAATTCACTGCCAGTGGGTTTTGTTATGGCCATCAGCATAGACAGCTGTAAGACGGAATTAGACAGATGAATGTAAGATACATCCATCAGTGTCTGGTAGCCAGTGTTCCCTCTAAGCTGTGTGGGTAAGCGGCCGCTCATTAACACAGGAAGCCCCGCTCAGCAGCAGTCTGGAGCCGCTCAGGGTCTTGCACTGCCCATTGCCCATTTTAAGATCACAGCAGTTGTATTCTGCTCAGGATGTGAACCTTTGAATATCAGTGCTAGGAGGCAGTGTCAGAGGAAGGCCTTTGTCTCTGTGCCCTATTTGTTTGGACCTCGAGGGCAACTGGTTGGCCACTGTGTGAAACAGTATGCTGGACTAGATGGAGCAGTGGTCTGATCCAGCACAGCATGTTCTCCGCTTCTCTGCTTTAACCTAACAATAATGCTGTGAAGTAGGCCCTGACCTGGATAGCCCAGGCAAGCCCAATCTTGTCAGATCTTGGAAGCTAAGCAGGGCTGACCCTGGCAAGTACTCGGAAGGGAGACCCCCAAGGAATACCAGGGCCAGTACACAGAGGCGGGCAATAGCAAGCCACCTCTTTGAAACGTTCAAGCCCCACTAGGGGTTGCCAGAAGTCAACCTGACTTCCAGGCATGCAGGCACACACACACACAAAAGACTCACCCCCCCAAAAAAAATAATGCTGTGATTGGGCTGAATAACTGGCCCCAAGTAATCCAGTGAGGTTTTGGGCAGAGAGGGGATGATTTGACGGGCAAGAGTGTAGATTCTTAGTCCAGCATTCTAACTGCCTCAGCACCATATGAGTGTCTAGCCTTTAAGTTTAAAAGTTCGAGTACAGCTACGGATGGATTCAACCAAAAATTGGGTTGTGAAGTCATGCAAGAGGCTCGTCCGAGGAACTTTGCAAGGAGTAAAGTTACCTTTAACTCTTTCCAATGTTGTCTTTCAAAACATACTCAGATACCTTCTCGATAACCCCAACATTGTCCACATGAAGAAAGTTCTAGATCTCGGAAGTGGCTGCGGAGCAACAGCCATAGCAGCTGCGATGAGCGGTGCTACTGACGTTGTTGCCAACGACATCGACCCTAGTAAGATACTTTGTTCCAGTCTCAAGCTAGTGGGAAGGGAAGGATGGATCGTAGAATGCCGCAGCAAGTCCCAAGATTCCAGGGGAGGGACACAGAGAGGTGCGAAGGAGTGAGCGTATCCTGCTGCCCGTAAGCCGTCACTCATCCCTCATGATCCGTGCTGAAGAATGTTGGGCCAGATGCCAACCCACTTCTGCCTTAGGAGTCCACATTTTACAGTTTGAGAGTCACCAGTGTTAGCCAAATTGCCTTGAATTCTTAATTAGTCTAGGGGAGGTTATGATTATTAATTGGCAATAGACAAAATAGGATTCACACCAATGTATACAGAAGTCCCACCTTTGCTGTAAGTACCAGCACAGACACAGAGACTGTATTCAGTAAAATATGATGTTTTTTTACTGAAGGATATGTATCATTCAAACAATACACCAACACACACACATTTATACTTATACTAAGAAATAAAGGTAGATCCTTAACACAGTTGCATTAGCAGGACATTCGTTGGTTGGGCAATATTTACCTGTCCTCATTGATTGAGCCGTTCCAATGGAAGAATGGAGGGGTTTAGAAATAGAAAATGGGGAACACGTGCTCTGAACCAGCAGAACCACGTGGACTCTAGCTGCAGACTAGAGGTTAAAGATGGAGGTAGGGTATGTGGATAGCAAGCTGGGCATAAGAGGGTTAAAGCTTCGATAGGGGTCGTGGAGAGGGTAAGAGAGAGACCATGTGGTCGGGCAGCATCTTTTATAATGTGGTGTGGGGGGGAGCTGGCTAGGCTGGCCACATCCCCCTGTGACACCTTCTGTTAGTCCGTCCCAAAAAACATACTATTGGCTGGCTGGAAGAGGGGAGGGGGACTAAGGTCAATATTGAGAGTTAGAAACTTAGACTGAGGACTGGCACCTGGATGAAGAATGATTGAATCATCAGGCTAGGGCTATTGTCTCTTGATGGCTGGCTGATGGTTGGGTGATTAGTTGCTAAGCAACTATTAATAGAGTCTCTTGATTAGATTTGTAGGTAGCTGGAAGAGGGGGGAAGAGGGGTTGCCTACATGTGCTTGAAGAAACTCCTAATGGAGTTTGAAATTCTCTGTTCTTGTGCCTTTCCATGGCATGGCGTCTGAGGCTGTGTACAGGCTTATGGAACTGCTTCATCTCACAGCAGGTGAGATGTCTGATGACTCTGGACTAACACTGTGGCTGCAACACTAAAGGAAGGTGTCCCTCTTTCAGGTGTGCAGTCTCAACAGGTATTCTCAGGTCTCCATATTATACAGTCCCTTTGCACAGTTCATATTCCATAAAAACACATTGATAGGCTTGTATGGCAACAGCAGTGCTGATTCTTCCATAATGGCAACCGAGTAGGAGATGGCTGGAAATAACTTCTGGGTGGGTCATAGTCCTGGCAGGTACTGGGGGCATATGTGAAATGACTGCTGTACTGGTAACTTTCAAACATCATATTCATCCACATGGAACCATTTCCAGCAGCCTTAAATCATGAGGTTGTAATAGGACTGAGGTCTAAGTTTAGTGCTTAAAGAGCTATTTTTACTGTTTTACTGGGGGGGTCCCTTTTTCCTCCCCACTTCCGCAACGGTAACAATGACCCCACCCTTAGATTCTACTGGTTTTGGTACTGAATTCAGTAGTGCTGTTCTGGAGTGAGCTGCTTGAAAACTGCCGTCTTTCTGACTTTTTAGTAAAATATCCTGTCCGTCCGGCTATCTATATAAAAGAATTTTGCCAAGGAGCCTCTGATCCAGCATAGGATCCTGTGACCCAGTAGAAGGTTGATCTGTTGTATGTGGGGATCTAAGTTTTAAAAAATCCTTTGACATCTGTTCATCTCTGTTTTCATTGTCTCTCAGTTGCAGGAGCTGCCTTAACAATGAACTGTGAATTGAACAACCTGAATCCCTTCCCTTTCCTAATGGGCAACCTGATTGGTTCAGAGGTTGACAGCTGGGATGTCATTGTCCTAGGGGACATGTTTTACAGTGACAAGCTTGCGGACAGCCTCCATCAGTGGCTGAAGAAATGTATTCACGCACATGGGACTAAAGTGCTAATTGGGGACCCTGGCAGGCATCACTTTGTGAGCCACCAAATTCAGAGTCAGTTGCACAAACTCACAGAGTACGCTCTCCCAGAATTAACCCAACAAGACAACAATGGGTCCACCAGCACTACAGTTTGGAATTACGGGTGTTGACTCCCGTTGGCCCCCAAATGCTGGATTACATTGTGCAACTCAAGCCACATTGCTTTGTTTTTGGCACATCCAGATTTTGGTTGAAGCTAGTAAATAAATCATTTTGCTGTGACTCAGCTGAAGAGCTTATTTACACAAATCAGGACAAAAGTGATAAATATTTTTCCCATAAGGCTTACATAACTCAGTGAAAAACAAACTTGTGCGTGCCAATATGTAGCCGATGTTTTCTTTTATAAAAGGTCACCAAGACCCAGTGAAAATTAATTATTGCTCTGGTTTTGTAAATATAAGCCTGCCTAATAAAATGCCTTCTTCTTTAGAGGTCAGATGTAGAGGTTTTCTTATCTCTTTCAGTCATGTTGAAAACTACAATCCTATGGCACCCTTGGGAGTCTGCTCCACTGAACCTTCTAAATAAACATGGATAGGATGGGGGGTTTTTTAAAGCAAACTCCGGAGCACAGTGGAAGATAGGAGGGCCTGGCATGATGTAGTCCATGGGGTCGCGAAGAGTCGGACTCGACTGTGTGACCGAACAACAACAACAGGATGGGGGTTGCAGAATTCTACGTGCTTTCCAGCTTTCTAAGCACCCAGAGTTCTTAGTTACCTTCTGGCAAGGATTTCTGCTACTGAATTTGATTAGATTTTCCATGTTTTGTGAATGACACCTTTGTATAGAATTCCATAGCCATTTGATCCTTAGAGGCTTTTAAAACAATGTTTCCCACTCCTTTATGGCTGCCAGCCTCCCGGTGGTAGAAGCCAAAAATGAGAGATCACGGGAGGAAGTGGAAATACAACAACAACATCTGTGACAAAAATAAAGAGTCAATAAAGATATGTTGCGAAATCATTTACTGTAGTAATTCTGTAGAAAATTATCTTCTATTATTGCTCACACGCTAACGAATGATGCGCGATGTAAACAATTTGTTTCACAATATTTGCTTTTATCTGAATGTGTAGCAATCACAATTCTTATCAATTGCTACTTATCAACTCTTGAAGGAAACATTCAATGTTTACTCTCTAATAACAGAACACAACATTGTGAAGACCTTGGGTTCTGTTTTTAAGAGAGTCAACATGGAATGTTTCCTTCAAGAGTTAATAAGTAGCAATTGATAAGAATTGTGATTGCTACACTCAGATAAAGCAGCCATATTGTGAAAGAAATTGTTTACATTGCGCAGCATGTTAGCGTGTGAGCGATAATAGAAGAGAATTTTCTACAGAATTACTACAGTAAATGATTTTGCAACATATCTTTATTGACTCTTCATTATTTTTGTCACGGATGTTGTTGTTGGATTTTCCCCTCCAGCCTCCCAGTGGTGGCTGGAGATCTCTTGCTTTTACAGTTGACCTGCAGGTGATAGAGATCAGTTCATCTGGGAAAAATGGCCACTTTGGAAGGTGGAGTGTATGGGATTATACCCCATTGAAGCCCCTCCCCTCCCCAAACCCTGCCATCCTCAGGCTCCACCCCCAAAATCTCCAGGTATTTCCCAACCTGGAGCTGGCAACCCTACACTCCTTAGAGTTCTGTAGCTCTTTCCTACTACAGTTCTTTTAGTACAAATTTTATTTGGTTTCCATTCCATCCATAATTTTACTTGATAATTCCCCTGCCGTATTTTTCTTCTGTCAATGCTGTATTATATGTAATGATTAACTGCAGCTAAAACCAAAAATGTTCAGGGTTTTGTGGTATTTTAAATTACATCTTGTTTCATTTGAAGCTGTCTTAATTCAGAGACTGATCGATCAGTCCCTGTTAGAGGTTTCAAGGATAAGTGAAGGGACTGCACAAGAGCCCAAAACTCAGCTGCTTTTGCGGGGAACAGAAAGCAGGAGGTTAAAGGGACTCGGAGTCCCTTTAACCCCATGCTTTCTGCTCTGTCCAGGAACTGTCACAAACTGCTTTAAAAGTTTGTGGAAGTTCGTGATGGTAGGCCCATCACGAACTGCAGTTTGCAAACCATGAACAGGGCAAAATTTGCAATGAATTTTGGTTTGTGGTTTGGTTCATACCTATCCCTACTCTCCTGGCCCTCAAAGGATCCAGGATGCATCTGTGCAGTTTCTCATTGAACTGGAGATGTCTGATGGAACTTGAGGTTTCTTATAGATTTTATAGGCCAAGCAAGAAGTCAAACACCTGTCTGTGAAAAACTATTCTCGCAGGCAAGCCTGTGTCTACTGCACATGGTACTCCTTCTCTCAGGCATGTATCAGACTGTGCCAAGTGCAGTAGCAGCTCCCTCTAACTGAGAAAAGTGCTTTGCTTTCATGAGCACCAGGCCGAAGTGTAGTGAAAAAGGTCAAGCTAAGGACAAACATGGAAGCCTGTGGATAAATCGCTAAGCCTCCTCAAGATGACAGTGCCCTTCCATCCCACCTTTCTTCCATCATGGAACCCAAGCTTTTTATGGATTCCAAGGAAATCTCTCATCCAAGCACTGACTGGGCCTCTTTTTAGGGATGCCAACCTCAAGGTGGGACCTGGGGATCCCCTGGAATTGCAGCTCATCTCCAGACTACAGAGCTCAGTTCCCCTGGGAGAAAATGGATGCTTTGGAGGGCAGACTCCATGGCATTGTACCCCACTGAGGTCCCTGTCCTCCCCAGGCTCTGTGTTAACTTCAACGTCTTTTGTTTCGGCAGTAGTTGTAGAAACAATTATTAACTCAGACATTCGCTCACCAGCTTCCTTTAGATAAACTGTCTTAAGAACAAATCCATACTTCTGCTTCTTGCAAAGTGAAATAAGGTTACAGAGTGGGCAAACATGGCTCCCTTCATACTAAGCTGTGTATTTATATATCAGTGTCTACAAATGTTAGGGGCCCAGCCCCAACATCTTAAAACTGTTTTGTAATTTGAATTTAGTATCAATTACACTTAAGGTTTATGTTTTGCAGTACAAATAGACAGAAATCATTTGTGTAGTGTCTGGATGAGCTATGGAATGAGTTAAAATTCACCTTCAGGGGTAGAAATAGGCTGCAGGGCAGTGGGAAAGTGGTGGCTTTAGGGGCTATTTTTTCCTCCCACGTAGAGTCTCATTTTATAGTTTCAACAGGGTTCAAGAAGTACTCTTGCTCAACTGTGTGAAATGGACTTCAGGATTATCTGTGGCCCTGAGGTATAACCTTGTTTGCAAGACAGTCCAACATGAGAAATAGTAGGCTTTCCTCAAAACAAAAGTGACAGGTCCCACAGCTATTGTAGAAGCCCCCCTCCCAACGCCTCCCCCTTCCTGTAGATGCCCTCAGCCACTGCCCTCTATAGATGGAAAGCCTGAACACCAGGCTCTGACGTCACCGCATGTAGTCATAACATTCCCTAAACTCTGCAGTTGCCAGCTACTTTCACAAGTGTTTTAAATTGCATTTTCTCGTGTATTCAACAAGATATTCTCTTGATTCTTTCACTGCAGTATTCCAGACACTTCACACTAGCTTACAGTGTCACTGAGTTCAGTTTCCCTTGCATATTTGAGTGTATGTTTCATATAATTTACAAGCATATAATATTGGAGAGTGGTGGATGTCTGTTGTATGATGGTATTGTCAAATAATACTAAGAGTTTAATAACTTCTGGTTTTCAGTATTACTTTTTATTTAACATTGACACAGCATGAGATAGTAATATGCACAAACTCATACTTTGGTAAGACGTCTTCACATACAGTAAACTTCAATCATAACCTCCAGTTACCAAAAAAGAACAGCTACACAGGATATTGGT